GTCGGTTACTCATCAATGTGTGGATAGAAACATGAATGCAAACGAATCGACGTGTACGTGTTATGAGTGGACCTTCACAACTGAAGTCGCGACTCATGATTGGTTTCTTTTGGGTGAGATAATTATTGTGTTGGCATACAATTTAATTCTAGATTTGAAGTTTTCGTGATTGCAAGGATCCATACTCTTTGGTTGTTTCGGTAAAGTCACGTAGGTGAAAATAATAATAAAAATAAAATAAAAATAACTAAAATGTAAATTTTTTATTTATTTTCACCTACGTGACTTTACCGAAAGAACCAAAGAGTATGCATACAATTTAATGTTTTTTTTTTTACTAATGACCCTCCACCACCCGACAGAGCCAATCAAATGGAGTTGTCAGGTTGGCCACTTGCGCGAATTGATTTGGTTTGTCAGCAGACCGGAGGAATGTTGACAACAACAAATTCGATGGGTAAGTGGAGGGTTGTTTATCATAGAAAAAAAAAGAAAACATTATAACGACACGATTTAACCCAGAATAAACTAATAATGGACATATAAGTACGTGCATGAGTAAATAAACATACATACTATAATCACCCAGGAATGTCTGTCCTTAACGTGACGTCACTGCACATCGACCAGCCCCCCTCATTAATATTCACGAGCAGGTGACGTCCTCCAAATGGACACTCCCCCCCACCCCTCCTCATTAATAATCATGAGCATGTGACGTCACTCCACATGGAACAGCCCCCCTCATTAATAATCATTGACAGGTGACGTCCTCCAAATGGATAATAATTAGCGGGTGACGTCACTCCACATGGGGGGGGGCGAGGCGCCTCCTCCCCCCTCCTCGGCGTCAACTCACAACCCTCACTACAAAGGCAGAACCCTCACGTCACGTGATCTCCGTAACGTGATTGAGACATCAAAGTAAAAAGGACGTCACGATGAACAAGGGATTATAACCTTCAAATGAATTAGGTCTGTGTCACCGCGCCCTTACAAATTGCACACGAATTGATGCAATTAATATCACGTCGCGGTCTGCTTTTCGCTTGCAAGTTTCAGTTTTACTGAAATACACCCGTTCTTGGACGGGCAAAAGGCTAGTAATTAATATAATTATACAGGAAATGTATAACGCAAAGCATCGGTCGTGTGGGATAACCCACATTTTGGTTCACGGCAAGCCACGTCAATTGAGCATGGAGGCGTCTAACAAATGGCAAACTCGTGGCGCGATTCTAACTCACGACCTCTTTCCCGCACAGCAAAAAGAAAGAAAGAAAAAAAACCTCAATCCGCTGAGCTGTACTTGAGGATAACAAAAGGGGATCTTTTTTTAGCCTGTGCACCACTCGGGGCAAAGGAGTTGCTATTGAATACCTATTATGGTCTGTCACGTACGCAAGAAATAAGAATCCTCCTTTTAGTTGAACACGTAGGCTTTCGCGACAAGTATGGATTCTCCTTTTAGCCTGATCGAACGGGATACTGAGCGACAGACAAGGCTGCGTCCATCCATTCGTCTTTGTCTCCGCCAGCGCTGATCTTTATCACTCCACCAGAAGCGCTTTTTTGTCCTGTTGTTGTTGAACGCCACGTCAAACCTCATCAAAGGGGGCCCAGCAGCTGTTCTACCTCGACTCGGACGTGGGTGTGCGGACTGTCATGCTGCCCCAACGCGCACGCACGCACGCTCGCTCGTCTATGCGTTTCGACCACACATCACGTCCCGTGTCTGTGCAGCGGGAATCAGAGAACCCCCTTCAGTGGCTTTGGAGCTTTAGGGCTTTAACCAGCGCGACGTAGAGCACAGCGCGATGTGCGATACGCAGTGGCACTAAACAGCCGCTGTTGCCTCGAAGCTCAATGTATTCATAACTGCATGTTCCTGAACAAAAACAATCGCTCGTTCTCTATTTATGGACGACAAGGGAAATACATTTTTTTGGCAAAAACCGTAAGTTTTTTTTTTGTAACGATACCAACTTTCAAGTGGTTATACAATTAGAGAGAGAAAAAAACATTGTCTAAAGCTTTCATTTTTTTCAACCGCGATAAAAACGGCGCGCTATGATTGATTTATTTACATCAATGGAACACCAGTTAGACCCTTCCCCCCCACCGTGGTGCTGTTATAAATGTGCAGTGTCACCCTGAAATACAAAATTACGCGTTAACACACGCACGCACGCTAGCTAGCTCAATGTAATAGTTAGCGAGCATCACCTGCCCCCGATAGTACTGGTGCGGTTGGTTCCCAGACTCAGAATGGGCAGGTCACGAATTAATATTGGTTTGGTTTATTTTGGTGGTGGTGGTGTTGGGGGGGGGGTGAGTAAATTGTCCCAGTCACTACTGGCTCAGGGGCTCTGCTCATTTGAGCCAGCTCAGGACGCAATCTTTAGTTTTGTCGGCACATCCCAACGCGGGAGAATCGTTATTGTTCACTCGCTTAGCCACAACCCACTCGCTGCGGGGGCCGCTGTGCGTAACGTCGGACAAGTGAAACTGCGACATCTCTTTTTGTTTTACAAGTCTACCTCGATCATCGTGCGGTGCCGTAGCGCATGTATCCACGTGTAAGAAGAGCAGGTCGCGCCGTGGTTTTGTCTGGTCGCCTGCTTGTGGTGGAGCTGTCATTTTCTCGATTATTTTCTGCTGCTGCTGCTTGCTGGTGCTGCGCTCATAGTGGTGCACAAGCTCAAAGAACAACGATAACTACAACAACAAATTTCGATTTAAAGCTTTCGTGACTGCAGGGATTCATCTTCTTGGTTCTTTCGGTAAAGTCACTTAGAAGGGAAGTAATAAAATAATAAAAATAAAACATAATAAACGTCGTGAGAATTATTTTATTATGTTTTATTTTTATTATTTTATTACTTCCCCTCTACGTGACTTTACCGAAAGAACCAAGAAGATACAACAACAAAGTCAACAAATTCGTCAACGACGCTGTCTCCTTAAACAATAAAATACACACACGACGTTTTGGACAATGCCCTTTATTCGCAGCACACAGGGAGGCCACAAAGGTAGATTCAAAACGTCTTTGACATAAAAAAAGACACTTCTCGTTTAAAAGTGCTGTCTGCTGTCCAGCTCAGGTCAAGTCCTTTAAAAAAACTAAGAATAATTTTGAGTTTGGGAGTAATATTCATCCTTTTAGGTAGAGCGGTGATGCAACGGTTCACACGTCGCGAGATGGAAGCCAGATACCCGAGTTCGATTCCTGACCACAGCCACCATGAGCGGCGAGTGATACCCGAACCCGTCCCTGCCACTCCTTTCACCAACCCGCACTGACCGGCGTGTTGGAGTTTATTCTAGATTTGAAGTTTTCGTGACTGCAAGGATCCATACTCTTTGGTTCTTTCGGTAAAGTCACGTAGGTGAAAATAAAAATGAAAATAAGTAAATTCTTTATTTGTATTATTTTTATTTTCACCTACGTTACTTTACCGAAAGAACCAAAGAGCGTGTTGGAGTTTGTTCAAACAATCTCCCAGGACCGACACGGCAAATGGAGGCCTTGACCCCCAGATGGATTATTGGACTCGTCCCTGTTATTCCTTTTTGTTCGTAAGTTACGCGCCAAACGACAAACTTATTTCAACAGAACCATTGACTAAATAGTGACGAACACCTCCGCCAGTTCGGTCTGCCCGTGTTGCAAGATGTACAGTGTCACATCCAGTTCTTGACAGTAACTCTGGTTGGTAATGCAGCGCTTTTGAGGCAAGGTTGGTGGGCCCTGTAGAATTCGTTATCTGCACATGTGGAAGGCAATGGTAGCAAGCGGGCTGCTCATCAATCTGTGTAACATTGAAATAACGTGATCCAGAGATCCACATGGACTTTACTACATTCGTGCTCAGTTTTTTTTCTCCCATACGTAGCATCGCACAAAGAACCACTGACCGCACAGCCTGGGCAAGACCCTCGTTAGGATGGGATGTGAGACTCAGTTGAGCAGTATTTGCGTAATGGGCTTATGATTATTATTTAAGAGCAGTTTCATCTCAGTATTTTTTGTAATGTAGGGATTACATAAGGTAATTGTTTATATATAGTACACGTAGCAATATATATAATTGCTCCACTTGACAGCATGATTATGCTGTGTGGACATGCACCCGATTGTCTTGAACGGCAAAATAGCATCGAACAAACAATCGATGTAAACTCGCACGAACGGCATCGCTCTGAACGTGCGTGAACACATCACCTGTCCCCCTGTTCTCCGTGAATGTCACCACCTTCCCCGTGCCCACGCGCTGCTATTCAACTCCTATACCAAGCCGACTACCACCGTGCCAAACCCCCTCTGTGCCTTACCAACCCACGTGCTATACCTACCGAGACGTTCCTTAATTGATAACGTCACGAAGCAGTTATTAAAGAGCCGCATGTTGCTTCGGAACCGCATGTTTGCCGACTCCTGCCCATGATAAACTGGACTCTCACGGTAAACTGGACTTTTTCCATGGTAAACTGGACTCATATCGCAAACAGGACTTCCGTGGTAAACTGGACTTCTCCCATGGTAAACTGGACTCAAATAGTAAAGTGGACTTCCGTAGTAAATTGGACTCTCATGTTAAACTGGACTTTTTCCATGGTAAACTGGATTCAAATAGTAAACAGACTTCCGTGGTAAACTGGACTCCCATGGTAAACTGGACTTCCGTGGTAAACTGGACTCTCATGGTCAGCGGTCAGCAACCAAAATAACAAGAAGTGCCATGTTTGTCGAATCCGGTAAAACAAAAAAAACAACCCCCTTAATATCTCAAAAGCCGCAATGTAGTACTTAAAGATTCGCATGTGGATCTTGAGCCGAAGGTTACCGACCCCTGAGCTTAACCCAAAGCTCATGTGGCAAATCCCCACCCCACCACCTCGCTCCCCTGCCTGGACTAACCCCGCCTAACCCTCCACTATGCCAAACATCCCCCCCCCCCACCACCACCAGCACCCCTGTTGGCCCCTCCTCCACCCCCCACCCCCCCGCATTATTCGCTGGGTCAGGGCTTGACCTGCGAGTGACATGCGAGTTGAGTCTTTTATTAATTGGGGCATCGGCATTTTCGGCAGCAGAGGCGAGGCAGCGCAGCGGATCGCAGGGCACCTGTTTGTGAGCGAGTGAGTGAGACGCACGCGCACGCACGCACGCACGCGCATAGATTAGACAGCTCCGCGGAGCACATTGCGGAGAGCGGCATCTCTCAGTGCCGTTAACACGCTGACAATCAACACGGAGCTAATCTACAGATCACCGGTGCGTGTGCGCGCGTGCGTGCGCGTGTGTATGTGCGTGCGCGTGTATGTGCGCGTGCGTGCGCGCGCGTGTGTGTGCGCGTGCGTGCGCGCGTGCGTGTGTGTGTGCGCGTCTTCGTGAGTGAGAGAGCGAGAGATATTATTTTTTATTTGCTAGTGGGCGACCTGCCTGACTCTCTGGCTCCCTTTTGTGGTTTATTATTTTTGTGTTGTTTTATTGTTGTTGTTGTTGTCGTCCACAGCCAGTGATTGAAGACTGAGCAATGGAGCAGGACTGGATGTCAGAGGAGGAGATCGAAGCGTTGCAAGACATCTGGGAGAAGGTATTCAAGAGCGCCGAGGATGTCGGAGTCATCATCCTCGTGAGGTGAGCAGTGGGGAAACGCAGCGCACGGGCGCAGGCGAGGATCGCCTCTCTCTCTCTCTGTCTCTCTCTCCATCTCACCCATCGCCGCGCAGACGTTTTGTAGACTTTTTGTTGTTGTTGTTGTGTGCGGAGCGAACAAGAAGTGCACGCGCGAGCCATGCCCGTCGCGCGTAATCTTAAAGGCACACACTGTACCGAACGATTGCCTATATAAGCCGTGGTGGTGGTGGTGGTGGGGGGTGATAAAAAGCTTAAGCCGAGAGACGAACGTTTGGCGCAAAGACGGGGCCATCAGCCCTTGCGCGCAGGGCTCGCTCAAAGTCCTTCTGATTGACTATCATCAAGTTACCGCCGGCGTTTGTGTGTGCGTAGGGAGCGGTGGTGTAGCGGTTAGCGCGCTGCGCTACGAACCTGGCCCACCCGGGTTCGATTCTCGCTCACGGCCAACACCGCCGACGATTATCTATGTAAATATCACCACTGGGGAGACAAAGGCGGCCGAGCGTGGTGCTGGCCACCCCACACGCCCTCGTGGGTCGTGCCGGCCTTCATAGGTGCTCGCTAACAGCACTTGCCCCAATAGTCTGTTAAGACTTTGTATGTGCTGATTGTGTAAGCTGCATACGTATTTGACACTTCATTGCACGTGCATTGTAATGTGTGTGTGTGTATATATACACGGCAATAGACGCGATGTTGAAAAAGATGTACTTTGCGTGCTGCAGCATTCCCTGCCTAGTTCTGGGTGTGTGTACAAGCGGCGCATCGTGTAAAATAAATGCATACATAGTGACGATGCAAGTCACCGGGTAACTGATGTAACGGTGTTCTAGAAGGGCTAGAAAGCTGAAACGTGGCCCCAAGCGGTCCTAGCTTATACATGTAACGTTTCCGATGTCAAATGTCTCTCTATGGGCTTCATGGCCCGGACGTTGTCATGGGTTCACTCATCGTCGGAAAGGGGTCAGCTAAAAGTTCTAAATAGCTTCCAGTCGTGCGCAAAGCAATTCACGATGGTCCTAATAATAGTGTGACGCTAAAGCTGAAAGAAAGTGAGCGAGGATTATAACTGGTGATTGTAAACTGTAACAAGTGAGGTACAATGCAGTATTGACTCCATCGATCCTGTCTGTCTACGTTGCCATCGATTGAAGAAAATAACACCGCCGGTTAGATACAGTTATGTGTAGTTAATCTGCTACTTACAGAGTGGAGCCATACAGGGGTTTTTTTTATTGAAAGATAAAAAAGTGTGTTCCATATCTTTCCAAACGACTGGCCTTCATGAAATTCAGTGTTTATAAGAATGTAGAGATAAACTAAAATACCTTCCATCGAGTAGCAACATTTTCGCTTAACGTTATTCACGTGCTTAAACTAACTCATACGCTGTCACTAACTACACTAGAGCCATTCAAAAAAAATGCCCCTTTACCTGTGTGTGTTTAAACATAGACCGGAATATGGCAACGTTTTGTTTTTTGCTTAAACATTAAAGAATCCGTCACTATTCAAAATCAGACACCGAAGGGAAACAATGTCAATAACTGTAATGAAATGTAACCGCGCATTTATTTTATTTTATTTCTCGCAGACACTTCTGAAGCGAGCTGAGCGTGCATATCGATCTGTGAGCTTATAATCAATAGATCGGGCCCCATGTTTAGTGCGAATTGAAATGCAAATATTCAAGTGCAGTCTTTCTTTTGCGAAGGCATACTTGGGCACGCAAGTGATAAAGCACACTGCACGACTGCTGTTATTATTATTAGTTGTGGTTGTTCTAAGGATAAACTGTCTCCCGACACAGGAATGTGGATTTTCCATGTAATATCTCAGGGGCCAACAAATGAGACGGGTAACGGCGTATAATACGTACAAATGATTTATAACCCTTTGTCAATCCACTGCTGGACAAAGGACTCCCCCCATGCTGTGTCCATCCTATGGGTTTGCTTGAACATACTTCACCACGCTGGTCAGTGCGGTGGTTCAACATCTGTTCAGATATCACTCACCAGCTATGATCGCCATGGCCGGGAATCAAACTCAGGTATCCGGGTTCCACCATGCCACAACTTCCAAACCCGGGGAGACAATACGACTCAGCTTATAACGAATGCAAGCAACTTCGTACGCGATGGGCCACTTGAAGCCTTGATACAAATGTGAATGTTTCGTGACATTACTGGGCACATGCAGGATGACGAGTAAACACTGAGCCCCCGGAATAATCCTCCCTGAGCCAGATCGCATGGCTGCCCTTGTAAGGAAGCAGTTGCCTTCAACAGGGAAACAACAACTGAAACAACAAGACCACTCAGCGGGTCTCCAAAGAGATCACACTGAGCTCAATGAAGACACCAGTGATGAAGTTTCCATGCCCCCCCCCCACCTCCCCCATCTGCTTATCCCCCCCACAAGGTATGCCACTTACTTCCCTTGGGTACTCTCATTTCAACGTCCCCCACACCAAGCCTCTGAAAGATCCAGAGCCCACAACAAGGAAACCGGCTGTCTTCCCACTAAGTGGATCCAGAACTTGATTTAAAGCTTTCGTGACTGCAGTAATTCATATTCCTCGTTCTTCCCTTCTAAGTGACTTTACCGAATGAACCAAGAATATGGATCCAGAACGTTATTTTGTTTTTAGTGATATCAAAAAGAGTGTTCCCCTTCTCAAACGGTGTCCGCGGCGGTGACTGTTCATCTCAGTCGGTGTTCTTGAGCGAGTGGTGTACATTCCGCATACTTTGGTTGGGAGCCAGTCTTCCGCTTTTGTAAGGCAGGGGGTTAATCATTAATAGTTTCCCCCTCGCACATCCGATGAGAGCGGTTGGCTACGTAGGGTGCGAAAGAAGTCCAACGTACATAGTTTGCGTGTGTTCGTGGCCGATGATGTTGGTGAGCCAGTGGATGGCTTCTTTCGTAGTCGATGGTGAATATCTCAAATGTTGCCGGGAAATTGAACTGAGACGGCAGTGGCCTGCTATGTGGCCTGCTATGTGGCACGCTATGTGGCACGCTATGTGGCACGCTATGTGTCCTGCTATGTGGCATGCTATGTGGCACGCTGTGTGGCATGCTGTGTGACACGCTGTGTGGCACGCTATGTGGCCTGCTATGTGGCCTGCTATGTGGCATGCTATGTGGCATGCTATGTGGCCTGCTATGTAGCCTGCTATGTGGCACGCTATGTGGCCTGCTATGTGGCCTGCTATGTGGCACGCTGTGTGGCACGCTATGTGGCACGCTATGTGGCACGCTATGTGGCCTGCTATGTGGCATGCTATGTGACACGCTATGTGGCCTGCTATGTGGCCTGCTATGTGGCACGCTATGTGGCCTGCTATGTGGCATGCTATGTGGCACGCTATGTGGCCTGCTATGTGGCCTGCTATGCGGCATGCTATGTGGCCTGCTATGTGGCCTGCTATGTGGCCTGCTATGTGACACGCTATGTGGCCTGCTATGTGGCACGCTATGCGGCATGCTATGTGGCCTGCTATGTGGCCTGCTATGTGACACGCTATGTGGCCTGCTATGTGACACGCTATGTGGCCTGCTATGTGACATACTATGTGGCACGCTATGTGGCCTGCTATGTGGCACGCTATGTGATTCGTGGCGTGACATTGGTATCCTCGGGCGTAATGTGGATATTTAACTTTTTTCATCGGTGTAAGAATCCGCTTTTGCCGTGTGATGTTCTGATGTGGTGCAGCGCAAACCATTTTTTGCCGAACAATTCTCAAACCAGGAGGATCTTCTGTGGGGATTTGGTGATTAAGCGCTCGTCCAGGGACGTTGGTGTTGTCTCAGGCTGCTCCGCACCGCACCTCAGGATTCGAGAGCTCTGCGCTCGATCCCAGAGCATGGGCTGCAGGACTTTAATCTAGACGTTTGGAGGTTCTAAAGGTTCTCTGCAATCGGTATAGGTTCGGTTGGCCATCGTTTTCTTCTTCTTAGGATTTTTCGGTAAAGTCACGTAGGTAAAAAATTAAAATTAATAAAAGTAAAATAAAATGAAAAAATCACGACGTTTTATTTTATTTTACTTTTATTAATTTTAATTTAAAATTTTTACCTACGTGACTTTACCGAAAAAACCTAAGAATATGAATCCTTGCAGTCACGAAAGCTTCAAATCTAGAATTCATCGTTTTCTTCTTCTTGCGTATTGACGGCTGATATGCTCTGGAGCCTAATGCCAATGTTGAGGTCTGCTAGCCACGAAAGAGCTTCAGGCGAGTGTCCGTGGAACCTTGCTGCTATTCCTCCATTGACGAAGCGCAGGTCACAGTGGTTCAGTACATGGGTCACGGTGCGGGTGCAGACGCGAGATGTGTGCATGTCTCTTAAAGTCGAGTGAGGCGGGAGACAATTGCCAGCCGGGTCGAGATTTGTTGATTAAAGTGTCCCCCGTTATGATGCATACGCAGCATCGCTTCGCTATCTGCAACACTGCTGTGGGCGCTGCTGGACCAGACAGGAACGCACGCTTGTTCAGGCTGGCTTTGACATTTCTGCGAGCCTTTTCCACGCGTCCTTCAAATGTTAACCCCCCTCAGTTTAAGGTCACAGGCAGGTATGTTGGATTGTGCTCATGCTTAACCATGTTGAACATAAGAGGAGGCATTGAGTGGATATAATATTCCTTCCATCGCCTTTTGGGTCAGTGATGAGGACAACGCCGATCGTGGTGAGACCCATGCCTAAGACACGATGTTGGCGACGTATATTATTAGCTTTCTGGAAAACCGTGTCCAGTATATCGTTCGTGCAGAAGTTGAAAAGTTGACAAGTGACGGTGCCAGCATAGAACCTTGTGGCGGGCCATCGACTGAGAGCCCCTGTTCTGTTAACGTGACCATTCATGTGGGTCCACATTCGATGCGAAGGAGCCGTGTGGTGTAGCAGCACTCGGTGATGCTGGAGAGCTTGAGCAGCAGGCCACATCTCCACACGGTCCGTATCACAGGCCCAGGAGAAGTTGACCA